GCTCGAAAATTCCAGCATTTCAGTTTGTCTCGTTTCTAGTTTCTTGAACTTCTAACTTAGCAACCAACTTAAGATGGTAAATTCTAGGGTGATTCTTTTTTCACCTCCTACGCTCTTCATGCCTGTCTTTGTTAGTGGCTGCATTCATGATTTGAAAGAAATTGAATTTGCTTTCTTTCTGGATGCCTGGTAGCAAGTTTCATAAACTCAAAGTGTCCTAATCCGGGAACGAAGGTCATCAGATGAAGGGCCAAAGGTTTAAACAAATCGTCTTCCTAGCAGGATGACTTTTGGGAAGGCTGCAGTAAGCATTTTGGTCGAGATTTAATGAAGACATTCCAACTTCAGTTCAGAATTCAGAAACTGCTGAACAATAACGAAGGAAATTACACAATACATGCAAATTTGCCCGTTTATCAGGACAAGCTTATACATCAAATCAAACAGAAATGAACCAAATCAAGGAAAAAAAACAGCAAAAAAAGCAAGCCAACAGTAGTTGTTGATTCATCAAACCAACACAGCAAGCAATTAGACGTGTGAACCTGAACCATCTATGATCTATCCGCACTTAAATCCTGGAGGAATGGTTCTGCCACAGGAACTGACCAGCGCACTAAGCGCAACAGGCACGGTCAAGTTGATCCCAAGCACATTGGCCTTTATGACAGTGCAAAGGCAAACTGCAACTTCCAAGTCAGCCAGGCCTTCAAGCACTGAACAACACTTGCTGTATGGTGGAGTTCCAACAACGACGTTGACCAATCCAAGTAGATCAGCGCAAGCACCGAGCTTCAGGGTATCTCTCGGGCAGAAGGGATTCGCTGGAGGTGCCTTGGGAGTAGGCTTTGGTTTAGGCTTAGGCTCACAAGGACCGCAAGCACTGCTAAATGTTGCTAGAAAAAGAAGGGAGAAAATTAGAACGGTTGCTGAAAGCTTCTGGGCAGCCATGCCTATTGCCTAGCTAAACAAGGTTTAGGTATGGTGCCCTATTGGAAGGAATGATACTCTTTATAAAGGGAAGCAGGAAGCTGTGAGGTAGGCAACGAGCGGTTTGATTGAGTGGAAGAAAGAGAGTGCTGCAGACAGATGATATTATTTGTAACAGTTGGAAATTTTTGTATGTTTCTGCAAAAGTTGCTTGCTTATTGATTTCTTGGGAATAATTCACATTAACCAGGAAAGGAAGGATTGGAAAACCATGGTCCCAGCCTTTTAACGTTAGGACAAACACCGTGTACATTGTGCACATGAAATGATCCCGAACTCGAGTGTTGTGGCTAAAATGTCATTACAATCTGATGTTATCCAGATTCTTGCTCAAAGCCCTCCTGCATTGGGTGTCTGAAATCCTTAGGACAGCTCCAAGGATATCACAATCCTTCGCTCCTGGAAGTTGTCATTTTCTATATGTAATAGCTGAATTAAAATCCATCAATATATTCAGGCCTTCCTGGAAATCTTGGATGCCAACTTAAGATTGTAGCCAGTAAATTACACTGCTATTATTGCTAGCTCTCATAGTCAGCCAAATTGATGCATTTGTTCGAGGAAATGAGGAGTGGGGGAAGGGGAGGTCGGCTTGTGAGCTGTGTACCATGCAAATTGCAAAGCAATTCCAGAAGAGATGGGGGCTCTTTTTAATGTTTTCTTGTCCTGTACTTTGTCCTGGTCTTGGTCTGAGATTTTCAATAATTGAAGGAGCAGCAACAGGTCCATTATTTTTAGAATTGATTTACTTCCCAGTAGTACTCAATCTATCATATCACCACAACCGGGCACGCAGATCCTGGAAACTGCTTGATTTGTTTATCCTCTTCGAAAATAGAGAATTGTTCTGTCGATATCACTCTTAGCTCTCTGGATCATCCCTCAACTTGCATGTTGTGATTTGCAGCTGCTCGTTAAGCCCCTCCAGATTATGTAACTTTTAATTCATATTCATTTACTGGGCAATTTCTATACGTATAGTTTTGAGGAACTGTTTACGAATTTTGGCAAATCATATGGTCAAACAATCATCCTTCTTAAGAATCTTAACGCTTAACTGGCTTGTTAGGTGAAAAAAAATAAGGTACAATGGGCCACATGGCACGGAAAGGAACTCGAAATCCTAGTCGAAAACATGTGTAAAATATGCGATGAGCGACGAAGCATCATCTATGCTGGAAAAAGGCAGATCAAAATCTCAATAGAGATCGTATATTTGAGTAGGGGTGCAAACTAACCGATCGAGCCGAGTTTTCAGTTAATTTTGTGAAACTCGAACTCGACCTCGAGCTCGACGAGCTCAAAATGTCAAATTCGAGTTCGAGCTCGAGTTTAAAAATAAAAAAATAATAATAAATTTATTTTTAAAAATATAAAAAATAATTATTTATTTTTAAAAATAAATAAAATAATAGCAATTTTTTAACAAATAATAAAATATTATGAATATATGTATAATTTTACTATTAAAATAAAAAATAAAAAAATATATAATTGAGCTCGCGAGCCAACGAGTTTAATGTTTTTGAACTCGAGCTCAAGTTCGATATTGACCGAGCTCGAGTTGAACTCGTACTCGAGCCGCTCGCGAGTCGATTCGTGTACACCCCTCTCACTCTCATAGTCAACTCGAAAATGTGAAAGTGTTGAGCAAAAATTTTAGGAAAATCATTTAAAACGTTTCTCACATTTATAAAATAATTTTTTGTCTCTCACTTTTAAATGTGTAATTTTACCTCATTTACAAACTCACATTAATCAAATTTGATCTCTATCTAAATTTTTTGAATAATTTTTTTTTTTATCGAAATCCACCGCACGCTTTGCATGTGATCATTTTTTAGGGACCAAATTAGCAAATTACATTTCACATAATTCGATCTATAATCCCTCACATTTTATAAAATAAATTTTTTCGTACGAATAGCATGTAATATACATCTATTTGAATTTACCTACAACTGCGATTCACTTGTTTTGATGAAATTAAATAGAGATATATTACGTGCTATTCCTACTGTTCCGATAAAATGAAATAGACATATACATAAATTTTCAAAAAACAAGAAAAAAGATTCGTACACATGATCAATGAGGGACAAAAATTTCATTTTGTAAAATATGAGGAACTATATATCAGATTATGTGAAATGTGATTTGACAATTTTGTTCCTAAAAAATGATCACCTGATAGGAGTGTGGTGGATTCCGATCAAAAGTTAGTCGAAAGTTTAGGTAGAGACCAAATTTGATAAATATAAATTTGTAAGAAACATAAAATTACCTTTTAAAAAATGAGAAACTAAAACATTAATATTTTGTAAAATTTGAGACACGTCTTAAACGATTTTTCCTAAAATTTAATAAGTTACTTATAAATTGGTTCTAAAGGAATAAGTTAATTAGAATCAAATTCAACACACCTTTTTCCACCTCCAATAAAAAAAAAAAAAACTGTTAATCCATTAGCAAAAGAAGTTTACCTTATATGTTGGATGAACAAGGATATGGGCCTTGTTTGGAACCTTGGTTTTTAGGCAAGTTTGTATAATACTAGTTTTTTAACAATTTTTGCTACAGGAACTCTAAAAACTTCTCCCAAAACTTTCGCCCCTTTCTGAAACATTTTAACAAAACGACGTCGTTTTGGCTGGTTTTTTCCTTTTCAATTCACAACAACACAGAAGACTCTTTCCTTTGTTTCTTTCGCTGCACAAAAGTTTTTGCTCTTTCTGTTAGTTCTCCGGAGTCGACCTACTTCTATGTCGGAGTCTTCAGTTGATCAGAGCAACGAGAAGCTAAGTGAGTGATTCTCCATTTTGTTGGTGAAACCCATTCGAAAAGCTTCATTGGTCAATTGCGAGTTCAGAAACTGGTGCAGAGGGGAAGGGGTGGCGGGGCAAAGGGGGAATGGGCAGCTTGCTTCCACTGGTGGCGGGCGGGGCTGATTCACTGAGCCTATCCGCTCGCAATCCGTATGGGACGTCTTCCTCTGAGCTGGTGAGGGAAGGAGGAAGGGGCAGCGGGGGTGGCGGGGGAAGGGGTGGTGGGCCAGATGGGGAGGGGGCAGTGGGAGAGGGGGTGGCGGGGTAGCAGGAGAAGGGGCAGAGGGGAAGGGGTGGGGGGGCAGAGGGGAGAGGGAAGGGGCAGAGAAAATGGGGGGGAGGGGTAGTGCGGCAGCGGGGGAGGAGGGGGGGCGGCAGCGGGGAAGGCACAGGGAAAGGGGAAGGGGTAGGGCAGAGGGGTGGCGGGACAGCGAGGGAAGGGCTGGCGGGGGGGGGGTGGCGTGGTAGCGGGGAGAGGGGGCTGGCGGGGGAAGGGGGTGGCGGGGGAAATGCAGAGGAGAGGAGAAGGGGAAAGGGAGGAGAGAGGGTGGCGGGAGGGGAAAGGAAGAAGAAGAAGAAGAAAGAGAAGAAAGAAAAGAAAAAGGAAAAAAAGAAGAAAGAGAAGAAAGAAAAGAGAAAGAAAGAAAGAAAAAAAAAAGAAAAGGAAAAAAAAATTCACCTTACAAAATTTTTTATCTTACAAAAAACTTCTACAAAAAAATTTTTCACCTTACAAAAACTTTTATAAAATTTTTTCAAAAACTTCTACACAGGCCCATGATTTCTCCCAAATCGCCAAAAGTTGAAACTTGAAAAATCTTCTAAAATTGAAACTTAGAAAGTCCAACTCCGCCAAATGAATCCTTCCTTGTTGGCCGCACGCCTATGGAGCATGGACAATACATGGAGAACTACTACTAGTTCTCGTATAGCATTAACTAAATAATCACATCCTGTGGCATATAGTAATCATTATCCAATTCCAATTTGAATATTATAGAAGAAGAATAAGAGGGAGCTCAACTCAATCAACCATGCTGATTCATGGGATCCAATCACTCGACTAATTAGTCACCTTAGGCCCTTAAAGCATAAGAGAGAGAAAAGGAGGATTTTTTCCCCCCTCCATTTTTTCCCCTAGATATAATTAGCTTACAGTTGCACAATTGGGGTTGGGCTGGTTGAGAGGGAAAGAGAAAAGGAGTCCGTGGGTGGCCAGTGAAAGGGATGGCGATACTGTACGCGCTGGTGGCGAGGGGATCGGTGGTGTTGGCGGAATTCAGCGCCACCTCCACCAATGCCAGCTCCATCGCCAGGCAGATTCTCGACAAAATCCCCGGCAATAACGACACCAATGTTTCCTATTCTCAAGATCGCTATATTTTCCACGTCAAACGCACCGATGGCCTCACCGTTCTTTGTATGGCTGACGACGTCGCCGGACGTATGCCCCTCTTTCCCCTCTCCACTTCTTCTCAATCAATCCTTGCTTCTTCTAGGAAAAGGGAAAGATTAGATTTTTCATCCTCAAAATTGCGACTTTTTTGCCTTGCTGATATTTTCCATATCTTTCGTTTCCTGAACATGGGTAGATTCATATCATTAACTTGATTGATATCTGATAGCCTTCAGAATACGAAATGACAAAGATGGTGTGATCTAAGGAAATAAGCTGATCTTTTGGCACATATGTTAGAGATTCGATTGATTTCGGAGTAAATATTTTGCTGTACTTAGGAATCCTTTGATTGAATTGCTAGGTAAATGGATATTTCTTGATAGCTGCCAGCTTGAATGCTAGTCTCATTTATGGGTATGGGTTTTTACTGCATACGACCTCAAATATGTAATAATGTAAAGATTCTGTGTCTTTTCCTCAATAGGGCCTTAAGCGTTTAGCTTGAGCTTCTTAAAGGTTTCTTCTTTTAGTTTCCCATCATTTGACTGCTTACTAGTAGTTTTTGGACGTCAAGTTTTGGTGACGTTATTTGTGCTTCCTTGAAACTTGGATGCTTGTCTTGCTGCTGTTTCCTTAATACGTGTTCTTTAGATGTTTGTAAAGAAGCAATGTTAACTTTCTTGGCTTTGAGCTTGTTCACATGGTATAATTCGAGCTTGCACAAACAGTTCATCTTTTGCTAATTTTGCTATATTTAGCATGCATAGTTTTGTTAGTTGGGCCTGTCCACACTGAGGAGTACATGCACAATTGTTTATTATTTTTAGGAGTATTAATTTGATCCAAAATGTTCTTAATGTCCAATGTCAAAATATTATGGGAATTTGCATTATACCTGCAATGTTAAAAATTTCTTTTAATTACCAAACATATGGTTGCTCTTAGCTGATGAAAATTGTTCATTTGCAAAGTAAAACGTCCTACCCTTGATATTCCCTACAGGGAGGATCCCTTTTGCTTTCCTTGAAGAAATTCATCAGAGATTTGTGAGGACCTATGGCAGAGCTGTGTTATCTGCTCAACCTTATGCCATGAATGATGAATTTTCCAGAGTTCTTAGCCAGCAGATGGAGTACTATTCACATGATCCAAATGCAGACAGGATAAACCGGCTAAAAGGTGAAATGAGTCAGGTGAGTTTCAAATGTTTGTGATTCTAATACATTTCCTCTATTCTTTAATCAGGTCGTATTTCTTCTTCTTTCTCTTCTTGCTATCTTTACTTTTTTCTCATCCACTTGCAGCTTTTGAGTGTTGGTGACATAATACTACTTAACCAGCATTCTGTTGTAATGGATGTTCTTTTGCACTTCTACTTTTGTATATCATTTGAACTTTTATATATCATTTGAGATGAATTTCCTCCTGCTTTAAGGTAGTAATGGCTCTGTAGCTTCAACTTGATAATACTCTGACTTTGCAGCTACTGTATGAATGAGTTGTAGAATCGCCCTCCTGATGCAGCTACAGATTTTAGTGTACTTTAACTGGTCCAAATAGAAATTCTTCAATGTAAAGATGTCACATTCCAAAGATAATATGTTCCGTGTAATAAAACGAGGCGATGGACTTCATAATGTAAATGCATATGGATGATTTCTGTTGGTACTTTCATGTTAGATTTGATAATTTAACAATAATTTTCTGGTTTTGATGTCTTGCTAGTATGAAAAAATTAAATTTATGGGAATGGACAAAAGAATTTTTGAGTTACCGTCATATTAAAAATAAAGAAATATGTTTCATTATAATTCTTCTCACACCATTATACTCTTTCGTTGTGATTGAAGATACAAATACCATTATACTCTTTCGTTGTGATTGAAGATACAAATATGATGTACCCTTTGAAGATTTTTAAAGAAGTGTAGACAGAATTCCATTGAATAACTAATAGTACAACTGTTTTCCAAAAATGACGCTCCTGCCATGCAGAATTGAGTTCTTATAATTCTACTTTGGCTTGATTCGAAACAATGTCATCTAAAATTCGCTCTTGATGTTACTTGGTAGCTTGTTGATTTGGCCTTGTTAATCTGTCTTATGATACTGCTTTACTCTGAAAAGCTTCCTATTTTATGCTGCATTAAAGTGGTGTCGTTTCTAATTTCGTACAGTTTCAAATGGAAGTCAACATAAAAGAAATTAAGGTTTGTGTTGAAGATAGAAGTTGGATATTCTATACTGACATCATGTTTTTTAACAGGTGCGAAATGTTATGATCGAGAATATTGATAAAGTTTTGGAGAGAGGTGATCGTTTGGAATTGCTAGTTGATAAAACTGCCAATATGCAAGGAAACACTTTCCGCTTCAGGAAGCAGGCTCGCCGTTTCCGAAGCACCGTGTGGTGGAGAAATGTCAAGCTCACGTATGTTTCTCCATCTGTACTCCATTGCTTGCTGTAGCATTTGCATGAAGATACTCACTGCCATCCATCGGGAGACTGCATCCCTTTTTATTTTGGGGGTGGGGTGTCTAGATCCGAATTTTTTTCATTGGCTTGGAATTGATAGCAGTATGATTATTTCCTTTTTATCTGATTGTTGCATTTCTTTTGGAGTTTCTAATGGTACTAAAGCCACGATTGCACTTAGCCTGGTTTCCTTCACTTAATGCAATTGAATCTGAAATGGACTTTTCGACATGATTTGAGGCTATCTTTGAGAGGTGGGAACTTAGATCCTCCCCCCTTCCCCTCCCAAGTGCTTTTCATGTTGGTTCTAGAATTGCTTTGCAAATGTATGTGGAATCTGTTGAAGGAAGGTGCAAAGAATAAGAGTAGTATGGAGCTGAGCCTTAGGACATGGGTGGTGTGGCTTGAGACTCGGTTGTAGTGGTTATGGTTATGCAGCTGGCTGGTTTTTAGTGCTTGCACCTTTTTCACGGAGTGAAGTACATTTGGGTTTGCTAGTTTAGATATGCATAGTTATAGTTTTAGCATAGATGCTAAAAATCAATGTGTTCCTGAGACATTCAACAGCAAATGAGTTTATATGCTTCTCTTTCACTCTTCACCGTCGCATACACTGAAAATTAGCATAAAATACCTGAAAAACATAGTTTATATGCTTCTCTTTCACCCTTCACGTCGCACACCCGCACACCTAATATTTGATCGCATATGTTTTTCGAATGTTGTTTAATCTGGTTAATTAAGAACCTCCTATTTCTCGCATAGGCATTATCTGGATTAAGTTGCAACTCTGTATGTTCTTTCTATATTGCTAGCCCTAATAAAATGTGGAACTCTTTGCAGGATTGCACTTATCCTTCTCCTCCTTGTGGTAATTTATGTTGTTTTGGCCTTTGTTTGCCATGGGCTTACTCTTCCTACTTGTCTGAAGTGAGTTACAGCATCAAGTGAGAGTTATTTGCCCTTCCTTTGGTTCCTCTCCATCATTGGCACGTGGTGTTTTTTTGGTACCTCAGTCTCTCAGGAGTGTCGCTCAGATTTGTTTGTGAGAATATCTTTTTCTCTTGCATATAGCTACCTGTTACGTCAAAGTGTAACTTATTATGCAGCTTTGATACTTGGTTTAAGTTGTCGATATGTAAAAGGAGCAAGTTATTCTTTTGCTTTTCATTTTCACTCCACAACTATCTTTGATGTAGAAAACCAGATAGGACTGGAGGTATGCTGAGTGGCATATGTTTATAGTGTTTATAGGGAAGCATTCTCCATCTGTTGTTGTCTTCCACTGTATGGTTAAGCCAGTCCAATGTTCAATATGCTGAATGGAGATCATTTTTAGTTTTTTAAGCTGAGTGTGATATGTGATTTTTATAAGAATTGTTAAACTTTAATTTGTCTTTATTGCTTCTTTTTCTTTTGCTCTTTTACTGTGGCTGAGACTAGAGGAAAAATTGACAATGCAGGATGTCGAGCCACAAGCATAATATCTGTCAAAATTTTAATTATTTCTACAATCTTAATGGAGTCCCTGCAAATTTTCTTTGAGTAATTCTGGGGCCAATATAGTTTCACCCCCTTAATATCCTCTTGTAACAATTCAGACCTTAAGATATTTCCATCACTTTGGAATCAATTTGATTAGAGAGTAGTGATCGTTGAAGGTGAATGTTTTACTTGAGCCGCACATTGATCTTTGATAGTGGTTTTGTTTGAGATTAGTGGATATCATTACCATCAAACAATTGATTATCATCCAGGTTTAGATTAAATATGTTAGCAGTTAAGATACTTTTTAAGTTATAACTAGAAGTTTAGTTGCCATTTATCACAACCAGAACTTCAAGGTTGTGAAACGGTATACTTTCAATGCAAATGACAACCGTTTCCTCCATGCGTAACAGTTGCAGAACTGAATGCCAAAGTGAGTTGCACCTGCTCCTGTTTATCACTTGGTGCCACGCTTGATAAGTTTGCACCTACTTCTGCTTTGGGATACAGGATGTGAACGTTTCCTAGCTATTGCAGTTTCATTCTTACAGCTCACCACTTGTAATCGTATCAGCCAGAAACCTGTGCATTCAGAAACGAAGTAACATACTGTAAAATTCGTGCTTCGATGAGTCTCATCAAAATTCACAATTGAACAAGCTTAGCTTCAAAATGTTAGGTAAGACATGCATTTTCAATGGAAATAACAGCCACCCTTCGCTTTGATGAGCTTCAGAGCTAATGCCCATCTTCTTAACTGGAACAGAACTGAATGAAGTAGCGCCAGCATCCAGAACCCCAAGCCATGGGACTTTTGTGGATTGAAACTCTGAACAACTTGTGCGAGTGAATGGTTCTCATCAAATCGGATTAACTAGCGTGGATGTTCCAAGTTTTTGCACCTTAGGTATTAGGAAAACCAGAAGAGATGATTGGTGAGGAAGCAGGGGAGTAAAGTGGTCAAACAGTAGGTTGTTAATGACAGAAAATTGGTAATTAGACAATTTCTAGCTTCGTATTGGCCAATCTGGATAAATTGAGAGCTCAGTCTTGTCTACACAGGCACTGGAATAATGCAAATGAGGATGACAAGGATATGGAGTATATGTACACCTATACATATGTGCAAGAACAGTTGAGACCAAAAACCCCCCCAAAAAAATGAAGTTAATGGTTACAAAAAAACCTCATCAACATTTTCAAGAGCGAATTTCCTACATAACTCTTCCAATCCTTGTAAGGAAGCCTTCCAGCATTCCCGAGATTGCGCCCCTTCTTCAATGACTTGAATAGCACGGCTAAGTAGATGATTATACCTAAGCACATAGTCATTCACATCAACGTCGTTGGGCAAAGGATCTAGAGGAAACCTGCGTTTGTAATCTTTGCTCCAGCGTGGTAGGATGTACTGAGATGGGATTTCTTCCACACCATTATAGTTGAAGACATTCAATGCATGTCTGCACAAATAACCTCTGAAATTAAACAAGCTGCAAATACACCTTATTTCCATGTTAGTCGTCTCATACAGAACCTCGTACTGCCTAACCTCCTTTTCACTTTCTTCTACTTCAACTCGTTCTTTAACAGCAAATGTTATTATAGGCCCATTGATGTTGACTTGCCTTGTGTTGAAGCAAGAGTACATCCCTTCAACTTCAATCTGGAACTTTTCAAAAATTTGCTTGGTGTACACCTTGGAGAGCTGCAACTCAAAATTACATTTTGTTCTCAACTCAAAGCTGCAATTTCTGGATTCTGTATCACCTGTAGCTTCTTTCATCAGCTTTCTTTGCAGTGCAAGGTCATACTTATCCAGAAATTCCTTGAACGATGTGTGTTTGTGAACATAGCCATCAAAAAAAGGTTTTGAAACCTCATTTTCTTTAACAGGGATCATTCCAACAAAAGAAGTGTCTTTTAAGTACACTGGCACCCATCTTTGTCGATCTTCATGTAATGATTGTAGCCATTTATTCTCCCCAAGCCCATGCTGACCGACCATGCTACCCCAGGCAGTTTCAAACTCAGCTATCTTCATAGAATTATATACCGCTTGATTCAATTGCTTCCTGATAGCTTCATATCCCCTCAGTCCACCCAATTTCTCAGGAACACGCTGCATGATATATGACAGGCAATAACAATGACGAGTCCCAGGAAATACCTCAGAGATGGCCATCTGCAAGGATTTTGACTGATCAGTGAGGATAACTCGTGGATGCCTGCCTAACATACATGTCAGCCATGACCTGAACATCCAAACGAAGTACTCAACTGACTCGTGCCCAAGAAAACCACATCCCAATAAGACAGACTGCCCATGGTGGTTTACTCCCACAAAAGAAACCAAAGGCAACTCATACTTATTAGTCAAGCAAGTTGTGTCAATTGCAATTGCATCAGAAAAGTAAATATAAGCACTTCTGGACCTAGCATCAGCCCAGAAAATATTTTTCAACCGTGCTTCATCATCAAGATCCATTAAATAAAAGAAATTTGGATTTGTCAACTTCATGCGGCAGAAGTAGTTGTAGACTGCATGTGCATCCCCTTCTTTAAGTTCCAAATGCTTTGAGTGATCTGTAGGATGCCTAACATCTCTTTCCTTAACTTTGGAGTACCCATTGGGCGCCGCTGCATTGATAACTGAAGCCCTGTATAACTTAATAGTATGTATTTCTTTAACGGGTTCAGCTTGCTGTGATTTCTGGGCGGCAAGAATCATTTTCTTGTGTGACTTATAAAAGCGTTTGATTTCAGGGCTCACTAAATGATTGTGTTGAAGCTCAACTTCAACGATTCTCCAACTTTTAGAGTCAACAAGCTTAATGACTATCATTGCAGGACAACCAGTTCTCGTCTCTGGTCTAGGATTGTTTGCTTCACTTTTTTTCTTGAAACCTGCACTACTGCAACTGAGTTTCGCTCTGTAACGCTCTTTCCTTTTGGATCTAAACCACGAATTGCTCACTCGAATGCCAAATCCTTGATCCTTGGCATAGCCATTATAGAAATCATAAGCTTCATCAAAAGAGTCAAACTCCAAACCAACTGTGGGTGGTGGGGGATCCCTTTTCAAGTGCGGCGCTGCACACAGTTCATCCGCATTTTCCCCCGTGGCACAATCTCCTTCATGCTCATATTCATCACCTTCATTGAAGGCTGGCTCACTGTTGAGGCAAACAACTTCCATCTGTAAAAGCAGGGAAACAGAGGAACTCATAAAGGTTTCAAATAATGAAAAGGCTAAATAAAAAAAAAAATGAAAGGTCGAGAAAAAAGAAAGAATCAACATTCTGTTGTCTTCAACAAAGAAACGGTGTAATGTAGAAGCATGTTAACTGCAAAACCAAACCTAACACAGTAAACATGAAGCAATAAGCGATTAAAGGGGGCAAAAAAAAAAATTTAAAGGACACCCTTAAACCGTAAGCAAAGAATGCAAAATGCAGCTACCTGGTTTGATGAAAATAGCAATCAAGTCCAACAAGTATGAATGCTTTGCTAAACCCAATAATCATTTGACTCAGTAACTCAAACACTGCAAGAAATCCAAAAAATTTGGAATTTAATCCAAGCAAATCTTGTTTCAATCCAAACCCAATTTCTCCGCCAAACAGAAAAAAAAAATTAAAAAGTCAATTTTCACAAGAGTAAATTTAGTTTGCACTGACCTTATAGAATGAAAAGAAAAAAAGGGGTTGCCAAAGCGGCAGCATTCAATCTGCCAACAGCAGTCAATGGAACTGCCAGCTGATCAGCAAATAATCCATCTGAACATTTCTGATGCTTATAGCTGCCTCATTGGATTTGCATCAGTAGCAAACGAAGTACAACTGTTCAATTAATACCCGGAAATTAATCAGGGAAAGAAAGTGAAATCCCGGGAGTCCTCTGAGAGACAGGTGGAGGTGGTGGTGGCGGTGGTGGGACGAGAGAGGAGGGTAGGGGTGGCGGGATTTGGGAATTTGCCAATTCAGGGAAGGTTGATTGTAGCAGTCAGCGCGGCGTATCAACATTAGCTTCTTTGGATTTGTCTGGCAATTTTCAAACTTATGTATTTGACCTTTTTCTTACATGAGTTTGGTCCGGCAATTTTTCGTACGTGAGTTCGTACTTATAATTCAAGTCAAGTGGGACGGAAAGTAATTTAGTGGAGAAAACCACTTTTTACAGTTTTCTTGATTCTGCAACGTTTCGTGAGGTGAATTTCCGGTTTAATGACTTGAGTGATGATGTAGAAGTACACCATACCACACAGATTTTGTCTAATCTAGTAATACATACTCCGTGACTTTTGACAAGTGGTTAAAAGTTGCTGCAATAGAGTTGCAGATTGTTCCCAATTGCAATAGAGTTGCAATGGGTGGTCGGTTCAGTTACCTGAATTCGGTTGCTTCGTGAGTCTCACCCTAGATTGCTCGTTTGGGGCGTTCTTTGATGTTCTCCGAGTGTTTAATCTAACTGTGTGTGCGTGTTATTGACTCTTTGAGAGAAAAAAATCACTTCTGTGGCGAGGTTGAGGGTAGGGGCATCCCGTCCCACATCGAAAGATCGTAGAGCATTAGTTTCTGAGTTTAAAGTCCATGGGTGGTCATTTCAATTATCAATTGGCTGAATCCGGTTACTTCGTGGGTCTCACCTTAGATTGCTCGTTAGGACCGTTCTTTAATGTTCTTCGAGTGTTTAATTTAACTGTGTGCGTCTGTTATTGACTCTTTGAAAGCCAAAAAAAAAAGAAGAGTTGCAGATAGATTGTTTTGGGTAGACCTTTTTTTTTTTGGACTTTTTTGTGTAGACTTGGTGCAAATTGCAAATTTCTCTTAGGTAGAATGTACGCAAGTTAGAGGTGATGATATTGTCTCAATTTTTAAAGGGACTTATCCTTTTTTTTATTAGCTGTGTGGGAGCTTATCTCAATCTCTTATGATAAAGAAGGAATTATTTTACATATATGTAGCTTATTAGACTCTTTTTTTTTTTTTTGGAAAATCATTCAAAATACTCATCACATTTTGTAAAATAACTTTTTCCATTCTTCACTTTTAAAAGTATAATTTTATATCCCTTACAAATTCACATTGATCAAATTTAATCTCTATCTAGGTTTTCGATTAGTTTTTTGTCGGAATCTATTACGTGCCTTGCACATGATTATTTTTAAGGGTAAAATTGTCAAACATATTTCACATAATTTGATCCATAGTCCCGCACATTTTACACAATGAATTTTTCGTCCCTCACATTTTACAAAATAAATTTTTTCATTCCTCATATTCTGTAAAATGAAAATTTTTATCCCTCATTAATTATGTGTACGACAGTCTTTTTTTTATTTTTTAAAACTCATATATATATATATATATATATATATATATATATATATATATATATATATATATATAGAGAATGAATGCCCGCGCATCACGCGATTATTTGGCGCGTGTAGTTAAAGAGGAATTTGTAATTACTGATAACCTTAGTAATTGCAATATAACTCCATGTAATTACTTCTGATAACCTTAGTAATATGTAATCATGTAACCTTAGTAATAACCTTAGTAATTACTAATAACCTTACAAATATATATATATTACATGATATTCATACTGTTCAAATGAAATCAAATAGATACATACATCATGGGTTTAAAAAAAAAAAAGAAACTATTATACACATGATTAATGAAAGATGAAAAAATTAATTTTGTGAAATGTGAGGGATGAAAAAATTCATTTTTTGAAATGTCAAGGACGAAAAATTTCATTTTATAAAATGTAAGAGACGAAAAAATCGAATTATGCAAAATTTGATTTGACAATTTTACCTTTAAAAAATGATCACGTGCAAGGCACATGGTGGATTCTGACAAAAAACTAGTCGAAAACATAGATAGGGACCAAATTTGATTAATGTGAATTTGTAAGGGACGTAAAATTACACTCTTAAAAGTAAGAGATGAAAAAGTCATTCTGCAAAATGTGATGGACGTTTTGAATGAGTTTTTCTTTTATTTTTTGAATAAATATAGCTTATTAGATTGTACGCTAATATAAAAGAAAAGAATCCTATGATATTGGTCTACAAGTGATTATATATATCAACTCACGATACAAATACTGTATTATGGAATCTCTAGGGAAAAAAATCAAGTGAAAATGTAAAAGAATCAAACGTTACGATGTTCTAACAAGTGCTTTGAGCGCACTCGTTAACACGCTCAAATCACACCTAATTTATCACGTGAATATATACACTCACATTCACTGTCTTTCTATATTTAAATACTTTATCAAATTAATTTTACTTTCATACAAAATTAACACTTGCACCTATCTTAACAAGTGCAGCCGAGCCCAATGTTTAAATAGTATAAATCCAAAACTTGTGATGTCCTGTTTATAAATGGAAAGTGTGTGCCAAAGCATGATGATGGATTGTTGTGTGTGTGATTGGTGTTTGTTACTTCTTCCCCTTTCACACACCACAGCATCATGCTATGACATAAACCAAAAAAAGTACAAAAAAAAAAAAAAAAGTTGTTGACGGTCCAAATTAATCAATCCTTGAGCCAAACATCAAAAAAAAAAAAAAAAAAGAAGAAGAAAAAACTACTTGACAGATTTAATATGGTAGCAGTTGATTTTTTTTTTTTTTTAAATCAATGAAAAAATTGAAAACAAAAGCTACACTTCCCTATAGTACAGTGTAGTATAGTCCCAAACGCTTTCTTCATCCTGAGTCCTGAAGAGTCCTCCCTCTTCCTTCCCTCCTATATAGGCTTACATCTGTCTTCCCCTCCCCCCCCCCCACCCCCCCCCCCCCCCCAAAAACAAAATCCAGCACACATTTATTTCCTATTTGGTCCGTATTTATTTCAAAACAAAAATAAGACAAAAAGTTAAAGAAATATCAACGCAAAACAAAACCTAGAAAGAACTAATCCCTCAAAATCACACAAACGTAAGACCTGCACATAACAAACACCAGCAATGAAGCACCACCACCACCACCACCACCACCTCTCCACTGATGCAGCCGTCCCCTCGTCGTCCTCTTCCTCCGACCAAGCCCAGATGGCCCCAACCGCCACCTCTTCGTCTGCCTCATCATCCCATTCATCGGCTGCGACGGCGACGGCAACGGCGACGGCGACGCCGATGACGACTCCGGCCCAATCTTCCTTATCTTTTGACAAGCCCATGTTGGCTGCGGAGGATCCCGCCTCGTCCCGTGACGCAACGTGCGCCACCGCGGCGGCGGAGACTGTGGTGGTCGAGCGCCGAGGCGAATACGCCGCCGTTTGCAAATGGGCCATCGCTAATTTCCCCAGAGTCAAGGCTCGGGCGCTCTGGAGCAAGTACTTCGAGGTCGGCGGCTACGATTGCCGCTTGCTAATCTACCCTAAAGGTGACTCCCAGGCCCTCCCTGGATACATCAGCATCTATCTACAAATCTTGGACCCGCGCAACACCACGTCGTCCAAATGGGATTGTTTCGCCAGCTACCGCCTCTCCGTCGACCACCCTTCCGACCCCACTAAGTCCATCCACCGCGACAGCTGGCACCGCTTCTCGTCCAAGAAGAAATCCCATGGCTGGTGTGATTTCTCTCCCTCTAACTCAATCTTCGAACCTAAGCTCGGCTTTTTGTTTAATAATGATTGCCTCTTAGTTACCGCTGATATATTGATCTTACACGAATCTATTTCGTTCTCGCGGGATAATAACGATATGCAGTCCAACCCTTCCTCTAATTTGGCTGCTGGTGTTGTCAATGGGGATGTCTTGAGTGGGAAGTTCACTTGGAAGGTTCATAACTTTAGCTTGTTTAAGGAAATGATTAAGACTCAGAAGATAATGAGCCCGGTTTTTCCGGCTGGAGAGTGTAATTTGAGGATTAGTGTGTACCAGAGCTCTGTGAATGGGGTGGACTATTTGTCAATGTGCTTGGAGAGTAAGGATACTGAGAAGAGTTTAGGGGTTTCTGATAGGAGTTGCTGGTGTTTGTTTAGGATGTCCGTGTTGAATCAGAAGCCGGGGTTTAATCACATGCATAGGGACTCATATGGGAGGTTTGCAGCCGATAATAAGAGTGGGGATAACACCAGTTTGGGATGGAATGATTATATGAAGATGTCAGATTTCATAGGGACCGAGTCAGGGTATTTGGTGGATGACATGGCAGTTTTCAGCACATCGTTCCATGTCATTAAAGAACAGAATAATTTCTCTAAGAATCCAGGGAAGGATGCTGGCAAAAATGGGAATATTGTTAGCAAGAAAAACGATGGCCATTATGGGAAGTTCTCTTGGAAGATTGAGAATTTCACGAGGTTGAAAGACCTTCTCAAGAAGAGGAAGATCACTGGGCTTTGCATCAAGAGCAGGAGATTTCAAATTGGCAACCGGGATTGTCGCCTTATTGTTTATCCTCGAGGTAAGCATTTTGCTATATTTTATGAATTATTGTCATGCTTTAAATGGTACCAGGTCCCATTTGAATTAACACTCGAACGCGGATCCAAAGTCTAAGTGCCATAACTAAGGGGCCATTTGGTAATGTTTATGTTTGCTGCTTTTTTGTTTATGTTTGGAGAATTTTACAAACACAAACAAAGAACAGCATTTGCTAGAGGTGTTTTTGATTTTGTAAACGGATAAATGTTTTGAAACAATGTGCCTGTTTCTAAAACACCAAAATTGGTTTATTGGCTTGTTCTACAAACATGATAAAACACGCGTGAATAGTATTCTAATGAATAGTATTTTAATCCTTTTCTTCGTGTTTTCATCAAATGGAATCAGTACATAAATTTAAAAAGGAAAAGACATTTTCTATGGTGTTACTCACAGTTTGTTTGTACGAGGCTCAGATTTTCAGGTCTCAATTTTAAAGTGGATAAAGATATTGAAGAGTCAATCCCTTCACATCCTTTGTGGCAGATTTTAGTATATCAATTTAAGGGAATGTTACAGTGTTTTTGAATCAAAAGTGAAGTTTTGGTTTCCCCATACTCATAGCTCCCAAATCTCCTTATCATCAGTTTATGCGGATAGAAAG